TGCATGCAGCTAAACGTGGTTCGATTCCCAGCACCATATATAGTCCCGGAGACCAATCCACCAGAAGTAATCCCTGAAGGCAGAGCCAGGAGTAAACTCCGAGTATAGCATGGTATGGCAACAACCCTCCTCTCAAATTAAAAAAAAAAAAAAAAATATATATATATACACATACATACTTTAGAAGCTAGAAAGAAATCTAAATATAAGAAAAGGATATAGGAAAATTATCAAGTAGGTATAATGATGCAAACCATGTAAGTGGTGAAAGATTTATAAAGTTCATATGGAAAGGAAAAGTAATCTAAATGATGGCTCTTTGAGCAGCATTTTTTTTTCATCATTTCATCATCCTGTTATTCGTCGATTGCATCGAGCAGGCCCCAGTAACGTCTCTTTCATCCTAGCCCTGAGATTATATTCAAGGCTCTTTAGGAGAATGAGACCCATCATTGTTACTGGTATTTGGCATATTTGGTACGCCACGGGGAGTTTGCCAGACTCTGCCCTGCGGGCAGGCTACATTCGATAGCCTGCAAGTTTGTCCAAAGTAGGAATGAGATAATAAGATGTCATAAAAAGATGTCCTGATAAGACGTCGGTTCTCGAGCAGCATTTAAGAAGTTAAAAAGAATGAGTCTGGTAAGAGAACCATGTGGTCAAGTGAACCAGGCAATATGGTATCGAAGAGACCATTGTTTAGTAAGTGTAATTTCAGAAATTAGAACTTCAGTTCAGAACTCCATTTGACAAAAAAGTTTCAGACCAACACTGCAATTATGGTGGTTACAAAATGAATGACAGAGATGGGTTTACTATCTAAAGAAGACAAATAATTTAACATGATAGGTCGAAAGTTTAGATACAGGGCATTAATATAACACTGAACCAATTAAGAACAAGAAGTATGCACAAAAATACAGCAAAAAATTAAAACTATTGTTCAGGGTCAGAGCACTTGTATTGTATGCCATAGGCCCTGGGTTCTATAAGTCAAAAAAGTCAAAAAAGAATCAAAACAGGCTGAATAATTGTAGTGCAATCCTCTATTGTTCATTGATTTGCTAGGCCCAGTAACGTCTCCATTGTAAGGCTTGCTGTTACTGGCATATTGAATACATCACGGGTAGCTTGCCAGGCTTTGCCGTGCGGGCGAGATACTCTCGGTAAAGCCTGGCAAGCTACCTGTGACGTATTTGATACTGTGTTTGGCCTCGTAAATAACAGATATAATTTAGTCATACTTCTAGTCACATGTTAGATCAATGATGTGACTATCTAACAAACGATTAAGATTTCCAAGGTCAGAAATTTTTGTAAGCCAACCCCCCAGCACTAACTTACAACTCATTATCTAAGGTAGCACAGGAACTACAAATCAGGCAAATAAAATAAGAATTATTAAGATGAAAGAATTCTTATTGTTGGTTTTCTGACCACAACTAGTGGTGCTCAGGGGACCAAATTTGTTGCTAAAGAGCAAACCCAGATCAGTAATAAAGCAAGCACTGCATTATCTTTCTAGCTAAATTTAAATTTATGTGTGGGGGGGAGGGGGAGAGAAAAGAGAGTAGAGGGAGGGTCACACCTGACAGTGCTCAGGGGGTCCTATGTGGTTCTTGGGACTGAGCCCAGGGATCAGTATTGGTTGGGGTACCAAACGGGATGTCCAGGATAGAACACAGGTGAGCTCCCTGCAAGGCAAGTACCCTACCTGGTATACTATCAGCTACTATCAGCTCCTATCCTTGAGGCTCAGGTATGGCCCCAAAACAAATACATAATATCCTTTTTAAAAGAATGTTTACTTTTTTTTTCTTTGGGTCACTCCCTGCATTGCACTGGAGATACTCCTGGCTCATGCACTCAGGAATTACTCCTGGTGGTGCTCAGGGGACCATATGGGATGCTGGGAACCAAACCCAGGTCCGCCGTGTACAAGGCAGATGCCCTACCCCTGTGCTACTGCTCCAGTCACAGAATGTTTACTTTTAAAAAAAAGTTTCTGGGTCATACTTAATGATGCTCAGAGTTGACACCCGTTGGAAATCAGGGAACCATATTTGGGGCCGGGGATCAGACAGGAATCAACCCAGGTCGACTGTATGAAACGCAAATGCCTTACCTGCTGTTGTATTCTCCAGCCCCAATGTTTACTTTTGGGGGACCTGAGTGATAGTGTAACAGGTGGGAGATTGCCTTGCAGGCAGTCAGCCAGGGTTTGATCCCTGGCATCCCATATGGTCCCTCAAAGCACTGATAGGAATAATTCCTGACTGCAGAGCTGGAGTAACCCCAGAGCATCACTGGGTGTGGACCCAAACCAAACCAAACCAAACCAAAAAGAATGTCTATTTTCTGGGGTCACACCCAGCAGTGACCAGGGCTTACTCCTGGCTCTGCCATCAAGAATCACTTCTAGGGCTCAGGGTACTGCACAGGGGTGCCAGAATCAAATGCAGATTCGCCACAGACAAAACAAGCATCCTACCTGCTATACAATCACTCCAGTCTCAAGAATATTAATTTTTATAGTCAAATATGAAAATAGCTGTTCTGAAGTTGGGGAGATGGTAATGCAGTCCCCCAGCACTGATGGGAGGGGGCCAAAATAAAATAAACCAACAAAATTTAAAGAAAAATTTTTTTTGAATCATGAAATTTGAGAAAAAAAATGAATTAGTCTCATTTTAGCCCTAGCATTTAATTCATTAACACATTTGTCTCCAAGTACTAAGAACATTCTAATTAACAAGGCAAGTGGCACAAAGTAGTGAAAGGATTTAAATAGCTCTACTTGCAGACTCAGTACTCTTTAATTAAACTGAGAAAGACCTTAAAAAACAATACTTGTTTGAAAGCTCAATGCTTATCAGTATCTAAAACTGCACGAATTCCTTATTACAGATCCTAGAGCCAGACAAGTGCTCAAAATGTTAGGCCATGAACAAGATGTCATGGTTACAAGGTATTATACAGGCTGTCTTCTCAAGTGGGTCCAATTTAAAATTATGTTTGGGAGCCAGAGTGAGAACCGAGTGGGCTGAACACAAACATACACGACATGTAGGAAGCCAGGTTTGCTCCCCAACAGCACTAGTCTCCACAGCCAGGAGCAGCCCTGAGAGCACTGCCAGGTATAGCCCGAAATACAAACAAAAAACCTGTTTGAACCTTACTTTTTGGCAGTGTTAGGGACTGAACCAAAGTCCTCCCTATATAAATCACATCTCTGCCTCCGATACTTGGGGACAGTGGATTTTTTGGGGAAGAAACAAGTGCTGAGGAACTGCTCCCAGTTTGGTGCTTGTGGATCACTGGCTGTGTTTGAAGGACCAGGAGGTAACATAAATTGTATTCAAGGTCTCACATGCACTCTACTAATGAGTCATACCTCTAATTCCTATTTTCCTTTTCCTTCCCCTCCTTTCCTCTATTTTCATTCTTTCTTTTCTGTATTTCTTCCTTTCCTCTCCTGGTTTCTAGAAACGCCCAACAGTACTCAAGGCTTACTACTTTGGTAATGCTTGGGTGTGGTGTGGTGCCAGAAATTGAACACCAAGGTGAGTCACATATAAGGCAAGCAACTTACCTCCAGTACTCTCTCTCCAGACCTCAATATATTTATTTTTAAAATAAGAATCACATGTGGTATGGGGCCATGTAGTAGCAAAGATTCAGTCTAAGGCTTGCAAGACAGGTACTTAATCCCCTAGCCATATTCCAGAGGTAGCACAGAGTGAGTACATAATCTGCATGCAAGGTAGGTTCAATCTCTGATACTTCCTGATACCATGTAACACGAGAAGTTACTGATCCTAAAAACTTGACAGAAGTAGAGCCTAAACTTGAAAACTATCTGAACTTTTAAGTCTGTATGTAACTGACTTTACAATTTCCTCTCTAGTCAATAATGTATTCACATTTTCTATTTCTAAGAAAATCAAGTCAATTACATTTTCAAATGGAACATTTTTGTAATTTAGAAGTGATCTGAATTCATTTTACCTTCTGTTCTCATTATTTAATTGCTAGCTTGCGTTTTTCTAATCAGCGGTTGATCTTAATGGTCTTTTCAAAAACTAGCTGTTTTAAAACTAGGTTACAGTTTGTTTTATTTCTCCCATTTGCTTTGAGTTGTTTTTCTTAGTCGGAAATTCTGAGATAGTACAGGGTTTAAGTACTTAGACCCTGCTGATCCCTGCTTGGTACCACATTAAGGTCCTCTGAGCACCACCAGGTGTCACTTATGAACAGAGTCAGAAGTAGGCACCCAGCACTCCTGGATATGGCTCATCCCAGTCCCGCCACGGAAGGCTACAAAATATGTAATGCAATAAAACACTATAAAATAGCAGTGGTGAACAGCAGCAGCATTTCATGCCTCTCTCATTAATAATTTGCATTAAATATTGTTAGTCACCTCATAAAATTTAAAATCTCGAATACACTGGATAATAAAAGATAAAGACAGTAAGGCAAAGCAAAGTCTTTAGCAATCTCATAAAAATTTTCCTTTTCTAATACATAGACTCCAGGTCAAAAAATTCAGAATTACCTGAAAGTACCCACCCATTTTTACCTACTGAATTTAAGACAAGCTTAGAATGAAACATCCAATAAACTACTTTTGGGAGATTTGTTTCTGGGTCACATCCAGCGGTCATCAGTTACTCCTGGCAGGACTCAAGGACCATATGGGTGCCAGGGATCAAAGTTGGTCAGCCACATGAAAGGCAAACTGCCTTACCCACCATTGCTATCTCTCTGGTCCCTGAACTGTATTTTTGTTCTGCTTTAAATTTACACACAGTAAAGTCACAAAGGTAAATATCGCTATGTCAAAGTACAGAAGCAAATTTAAAAATCAAAACTGTCAAATATATTTGACATATATATGTAACAATAGTTTTAATTTTAGAATAGGCATGCCAGAAGTGGACTTTAATACATATTGATTTTTCCTTTATTAAGAGAATTTTTTGAAAAAACAAACTTACAGTTCATCTCGTTGTCTCTGGGACAGCACCATTTTGGCTGCTTATCTGATAAAGTGGTATGTCCCTTCCTGGGAAATCAAAAATGCGTTGTGATTCCGGGATTTCTAATTAAATGTGCCACTGAGTGGCTTCCACACAGGAAGAAATGATTCTTTCACAAGTGAATCCAATTGGTAACCAGGAGATATTCAACAGGTAAGGTTCATTCCACCTAAGGAGTAACAGAGAAAAAAAAAAAGGTTATTTCCTTTCACTTGGAATTTAAAGAACTTCTATTTTTGCAGTATATACTTTCAAATATGAGGTTTATTGAGATCTAATAAGCATGAGATGTTTTCAACATACTATAAAAACCAATGCCAAGTTATGTTAATATTCTTAAATTATCGTTAATAGTCTACAATCACTAAAATAGCATGATCTTTAATTTTTATTTTTGTGTATGTTTTATAGGATAATGGAGGATAAGAACAGTAACAGGGATAAGACACAGGTAACAGGAATAAGACTTAGGATTCACCTGAGATCTGCTGTCCCATGGCACTACCTGGGTTTGAGGGGATGAAGAGTATAAAGCCTTCCACCCCCACCCCCAAATGAGTGAAAATTACTGCTCATAATGTAATGTGTTCATTGTTGAACAGAAAGGAACTTAGGCTTTTTTTTTTCTTTTCTTTTTGGGTTACACCCGGTGATGCTCAGGGCTTACTCCTGGCTTTGCACTCAGGAATTACTCCTGGCGGTGCTCGGGGGACCATATGGGATGCTGGGAATCGAACGTGGGTCAGCCACGTGCAAGGCAAATGCCCTCCCTGCTGTGCTATCGCTCCAGCCCTGCAAATGAGTGAAAATTAGGCAACAATAATCTTTTAAAAAACTATTATTTGTATTGTAAAATGTGCTACTGACTAGCTTCATACCCCCTTAATCAATGTATTTTATGAGAAAACCTTTAATATTATTTCAGTATTTTAACTGGTGTCCTTGGTTAGGGCACATGTCTGTGCATGCTCAGCACATGGCCACCCAGTACCATCAAAGGACCAAACTAGCAACACATCTTCAGGTGAAACAATGGCCTGGGCTGGTCAAAGTATTGTCAGGAATGGTACCCCAACATGAAATAAAGTAGAAATCTGAAAGGAATGTTTTGTATCCTATGTGCACGCATATCAATCCAATTCTTTAATCTAGTTTGTGTATACTGGTATTTCAAAGCTCCTTCTTTACGTTTACAAACACCAAAAAATCCATTTTTACAAAGATTATAAATAGCTCATAAATGTAGGTAAGAGAAAAATCAATTGTTGGTGGTGTGGTGGTGGTAGTAGATTGACTGCTCAGGGATTATTCCTACCTAATAGGGCTGAAGGGACCAAATAAGGTACTGGGGATCAAATCAGGGCAGCCATGGTGTGCAAGACAAGTATAATGCCTGCTGTATTATCTGGTCCCAAGAATTTTTTTTTAAATTTACCCACTGTGAAATTAAAATTATTTATAATTGGGTTTCAGGCATACAATGTTTCAACACCAATCCCTTCCGTGTCCACTTCCCTCCACCAATGTCCCTCTCCCCATTTGCTTCCCACCCTACTTTTACAAGAGGCGCTTTAAAAATTAAAAAAAAAAATTTTTTGCAACATGACTTAAAATACTATTGTAGATGGGGTTTCATACATAACACTCTGCTACCTTTCTGCACCAACTTCCTCCTGGATGACCACTTCTATCCACCACAGATGTGCTCCTTCCCTGTCCTCTCTTCCAGCCCCTCAAGTAGCATGTTTCCTACCTAATACCAGTGCAAGAAACATTTCTTAAGAATTACTGTCCAGAATTACTGTTCATCCATTGACCCAGTTTTATAGACTCATGATTAAACCTCAAGAGAGATGCAAGCCAAGCCACAAAAATTCACAGGTACACGGATCTCCCAGATGTAAACTGTGGGATGCCCTTGGGAGGGGGGGGCGGTAGAGTGCCCAGGCTGCTGATGCCTCTGCAGCTGCACCCACATTTCACAGCTCCTGCCATGCCAACAGCCCAACTCCACTGCTTCACAACTAATCTCTGCAGAGAAGCCATGCAGACGAAAATTCCAGGTATAGAAGTCTTTAGGCTGAGAACTTGGTTCTTCTCAAGTGGGTGCAAGCAGCCTCCCCCTCCCAAGCTACCAAATCCAAACTTATGGAAGCCCCAGCAACCACAACCATCTACAGTTGCTGCTATGTAAACTCATGGCTTAGTTACATATCCTGGAATTTCTGGAGTTGACACCATCAAACTCTACAACAGCCCAGTAGGAGCACACCAAATTAAATGCAAAAGTAACCTAGAAGCCAACTATGCTCAATAAACTAACACAGAAGGCTCCACAAGCAAGGAATAGTTTAGTAAACCCTCAGACCCCATGGTGAGATAAAACAATTTTCACAAATTTTCTTTTACTGAAATTTTTTTTGATAATTCCATTAGCCATTTGGTTCTGACAAGCAATACAAAAATCAATTATTTTGTGCCTCAGCAGGCTTGAGTAGTAGTTGGGATAATGGAGAGGGAAGGTCACCACTGGTGGTGGGATTGAGTGTTGAAATACTGAAATGCCTATAACTGAACAACTTATTATGAACAACTTTATAAACCAAGATAAAGGGAAAAAATTTAAATTATTGTTCAAATCTATTTTATAGGGCTGGGTACATATGTAGCCCAAAAGGCTAGAGCACATGCCTAGCATGCATAAAGTGTTGATTTGGTTTGATCTTTGGCACTGCTGGGGAAACCCAAGCCTCCCACCAAAAAAACTTCCAAAACCCTACCTAAAAAAAAAAAAAATTAGTTTTGCTTATCACATTCAAAATAACAGAACTTCTGGTGTATTTTGGGAAATATATGGATAACCTTATTCAAAATGAGGACTAGGGAATGAGGATGTGGTTCAAAGGTCTATGTTTCATCCCCAGCACCATAAGCACACCCCTACCCTACTGCTAACTGTGGCCCCCACAGCCACAACAAAATCACTGTAGCACTATCTTCCGGTTGTTCACTGACTTGCTCCAGGGGGCCCAGTAATTGTCTTCATTGTGATACTTGTTACTGTGTTTAACATACTGAATACATCACAGGTAGCTTAGCAGGCTTTGCCATGTGGGTGAGATACTCTAGGCAACAAAATCACATTTAAAAAAAGAAAAAAAGAAGGGTGGGATGGGGGGATGGGGGTGGGAGGGATACTGGGATCCGTGGTGGTGGAGAATGGGCACTGGTGGAGCAATGGGTACTCGATCATTGTATAACTGAAACCCAAGCACAAAAATCTGTAAGTCTACAACTGTACCTCATGGTGTTTCACTAATAAAAATTTGAAAAAGAAAGAAAGAAACAACACATTAAACACAAAGGAAACAGACTAATTTTTAATAGTGTAATAGCGTTTTCATGACAGGCTAGGTAATACTGTAGGCACTAGGAGATACAGTGGTGAATGAGTCAGTTAAAGAGGAAGAAGAAACCAAATCCAGGTTTTAAATATGACTAGTGAGTACTCAGAGACACAGAACTGGTTGCATGCAGCTGATCCCAATTCAATCCCAGAACCACTTGGTCCCCAAGAACCGCAGGTCTGCCTCCATAGCAGAGAGAACCCCAAGCACCAACAGGTCTGGCCCAATTTCCTGCCCTCCAAAGTGACGTGTTCCCAATGACAGCTGTTGATTTCAAGGAGATCCTTCTCTGCTGAGTAATTTTACTAAGAATTTTAAGAAGAATTTACCTTATGCTTTTATTTATCTGGTTTCATTTTGGGGCCATAGCTGGCAGTATTCAAAAGCTACTCCAGCTTTTCACTTGGAGGTGGCAGGAAGTTACTCCTGACCACACGTTGAGGAACTGTATGTGGTGCCAAAAATTCCTCCTATTACTTAAATCATGAGCTCCAGGCCAACTGAACTTTCTTCCCAGTTCTACCTTTTTTTTTTGAGGGGGGAGGGGGTGCTTGGGCCACACCCAGCCGTGCTCAGGGTTTACTCTTTGGTGTACTAGGTGATCAAACCCTGACTGGTATGCACCATACCCGCTGGTACTATCACTCTGGCCCTATTGTGTTATTTTTAATGATCCTTCTGACCAGAGCTCAGCTCAAAATGACAACTAAAACAGTCATCATTACCAGTATGTCTAAATCCCAAACTTATTTGGCCTATCATCCCCTTATGAAAATCTACCTTCTCCAAGCAAACAGAAACCCCCTCCCCCAATTAGATCCAAGGCTATGACCCCACCGCCTCACTTCATTTCAGCACCCTGCCAGAGGTGGAAATCACTTTAGACCTTGTAAACACAGGAAAAACATGACTAGGGGAAAAGAGAGAGTACAGCAGGTAGGTGCTTGCTTTGCACACCACTGACCAAGGTTCAATTCCCAGCAACCTATAGCAAAATAGGAGTAAGTCCTTAGCACAGCTGGTTAAGCCCCTCCTCCCCACAACCCCTGCCCCAAACCCTTTCTTCCAAGTCTCAATGGATACTAAGTCAAAACAACTAGGGATTTATACACTCTTGGCAAAAAGTCACAGTACAGTACAGATTTTATGGTGATTTCTCTGAATATCTGCCGCCTTTTATTATCTAAGATGAGGGCAATCCACTGATAGAGAATTCAAGAACTCAAAGTGGAGTAAGTCCATAGCAAAATTTCCTGTTCAAATGGGGGGAAAAGAACAAAGTATTTATAGGATCCAATTCAACCATGGAAGGAAGAGGCTGCTTATAATCAAAACAAACAAAGAGGCTTCCTCTTCTAGCCTGTTCTCCCTTGAACACATATTCCTTTCCTTTTCACATTTTTTTCAATAAAAGCTATCTTGTTTCACTTAGAATACTAGAATGATTAATGATCAAAACTTTATGTGAGAGGGCCAGACATGCAGCTCAGTGATGTAACACCTGACCTGCATGAGAGCAAGGCTCCAGATTCAATCCCTGACATTACAAACAAAACACAAAATATAAGCACACCACAGAATATAAACTCATGTGCTACAGAAATTTCTCATTCAACATATATATACACCATATGGAAAACACCAGGTTTAAAGAGTGGAAAAGACTTGGTCTTTATATTCAAGAAGTTTCATAACCCAGAAACAGGCAACTGTAGCAGTGTGAAAGTGTGACAAGTACATTGCAGAGCAGTGATAATCCTGG